AACATCACGAGAGCAAATACAGAGGGTTCACCACAAGGTGCAAACCATTTATAAGCCGGAAGAATAGAAAAGCAAGATTAGACTTTGCCAAAAACCATCTAAAAAAAGCCAGACCAGGTCTGGAAATCATTCTTTGGACAGATGAAACCTAAGATTAATCTGTACCAGAATGACGAGAAGAAAAAAGTGTGGAGAAGGCTTGGAACAGCTCATGATTCAAAGCACACAACCTCATCTGTAAAACATGGTGGAGGCAGTGTGATGGCATGGGCATGCATGGCTTCCAGTGGCACTGGGTCATTGGTGTTTATTGATGATGTGACAGAAGACAGAAGCAGCCAGATGAATTCTGCAGTGTTCAGAGAAATACTGTCAGCCCAGATTCAGCCAAATGCAGCAAAATTGATTGGATGGCGCTTCACAGTACAGATGGACAATGATCCAAAACACACTGGAAAAGCAACCCAGGAGCTTTTGAGGTATCTTTGCCCATTCTTCCTTACAAAAGTCTTCCAGTTCTTTGAGATTTCTGGGCTGTCTGTCACGCACTGCTCTTTTAAGGTCTATCCATAGATTTTCAATTATGTCGAGGTCAGGAGATTGTGAAGGCCATGGCAAAACCTTCAGTTTACGCCTCTTGATGTAATCCCCCGTGGATTTCGAGGTGTGTTTAGGATCATTATCCATTTGTAGAAGCCATCCTCTCTTTAACTTCAGCTTTTTCACAGATGGCATCAAGTTACCATCCAAAATTTGCTGAAATTTTATTGAATCCATTTTTCCTTCTACTCGTGAGATGTTCCCTGTGCCACTGGCTGCAACACAACCCCAAAGCATGATTGAGCCAACCCCATGCTTAACAGTTGGACAGAGGTTCTTTTCATTAAATTCTGTGCCCCTTCTTCTCCAAACGTACCTTTGCTCATTCCGGCCAAAAAGTTCAATTTTAACCTCATGGGTCCACAGAACTTGTTTCCAAAATGCATCAGGCTTGTCTATATGTTCATTTGCAAAGTTCAAACGATGATTTTTGTGGTGAGGACGTAGAAGAGGTTTTCTTCTGATGACTCTTCCATGAAGACCATATTTGTACAAGTATCTCTTTATAGTGGAATAGTGTACCACAACTCCAGTGTCTGCCAGATCTTTCTGGAGGGATCGTGCAGTCAAACGTGGGTTTTGAATTGTTTTTTCTCACAATCCTGCGAGCTGTTCTGATATTTTTCTTGGTCTTCCAGATCTTGCTTTAACTTCCACTGTTCCTGATGACTGCCATTTCTTAATTACATTCCGAACAGAGGATATTGACATCTGAAAAAGCTTTGCTATCTTCTTATAGCCTTCTCCAGCTTTGTGAGCGTCAACTATTTTCAGTTTTCTAGACAACTGCTTAGAAGAACCCATGGTGCGGATTGTTGGGGCAAGGTCAGATGAGTCTGGGCATTTAAAACCTTTGAGATTGACATCATCTGGTCTTCCCAGACGATGATTGAGAACAATCCATGACACTGGCAGGTCTCAGCTTTGCAAAAGGGGCAGTGCATGCTATAAATTCTGCAGGGGGCCCAAACTTTTGCAGACACCATTTTTTTGTTTTCTGTTATTTTGAAAGTGTAAATGATGGAAATAAAATCTAACTTTTGCTGACATATTATAAGAATGTCTAATCTGTAATTTGATGCCTTTTGGAGATTTTTCCATCTTTCCTTGGCTTCTTTATGCACATTAATACAAATTTTTAGCTGGGGGGCCCAAACTTTTGATCCCCACTGTATATACACATACACACACACAGAAGTAGAATATACAGAATTAACAGGGAGTCGGACATAATGCTATATGACGAGAGGAGTAGGAGGATATAAATCTTTTATATTAAAGTAGTACTAAAGGCTGAGATTTTTTTGCATGGATATAATCTCTTTAAAAGAGAAGTCTGGGGTTTCTTTTTTAAATATACTTACCTAGGTGGTTGCAGCATCGATCCGATGCTGCATCTGTCCCCTGCTGGCTCTAAGGCTGAGAACTGAGTGATCAGACAATGCTGATAGCTCAGTTCTCTCTCTGAGCAGAGAGCCAGTGACTATCAGTCACCGCCATCTGCTCTACCCCGCCAGTGCTCACTGGAGCACTGGGCTGTGGAGGACGCTGCAGCAGCTGGCTCAAGCTCTCAGCGAATCGCCGGGTGCTGCTCCAGGCTACTGGGTAGATCCTGACCATACGGTCGCGATATTTCCCCATCCTGGACTGGCTGAGTGATGTGAGCCAACAGCGGACTTTAGCCTACTGTCGGCTGAAAACGGGTTAAGGAGTGCAGAACAGACTGCACTTCTGTGATCCACAGGGGAAGCACGGCCGAACAAGCTTTGGCTGTATTTCTCTTTTAAAAATAAAATGCACAATACTGGTTACTTTTACTTTAATTATAATGCCTTATATTACCTCCAGTCTATCAGCCTCCAGATTTTCTAGGTTCAGAAGCTGATCTTCTCAGCACAGAGCCCTTAAAGCGATTGTAAATATTGGATTTTTTTTTTTTTTCAAACTTGTCATACTTTCCTGCTCTGTGTGTGGTTTTGCACAGAGCAGCCCCGATTAACCTGTTTCGGGGTCCTCTACTGGAGCTTCTGACTCTTCCTGCCATCAGAGTGCTCCCAGAACAAGTCGCAAAGTATAGTATAGAGTGCCCCTATACCAACCCGCAAAGTATAATATAGCGTGCCCCTATCTCAAGGTAAAAAACAAAAGAAAACCTTCTGGCCTTTAGAATCACCTTAAATCAATTCCTTTTCCTGCCCAGGGCGACATGTCCTCAGGCACTTTCTGACAGCATTTTCTGATATGTAAACAGATAATTCATTCTGTATGCATGCCAACTAATTGGCTGACCAATTAACTGATTATGAAAATAGTTGACAACTATTTTCATAATCGATTAGTTGTTTCAGGCCTAATTTTCTAGCTCATTACATTAATGTCAACCAAGTGGGCTTCATGCTAAATAGACACAGGTGGCAGACCAAGTTAAGAGGACGATAGAGCTGATCTCCTTACTACATTCAAGTTGGGTTGGTGGCAGGCAGAGGTTGGGTAGGTTTTGGTCATTAGATTTACGTAAGGCCTTTGACATGGTCTCCTGGCCTTATTTATTCTATGCACTTTATAAATTGAATTTCAGCTCCGCTTTTCTCATCATGAGCTCCTATAGACTCTGTATTGAATTCCGCACTCATAAGTATTGTGTCAGGTATCAGGCAAGGGTGTCCACTATTGGCACTACTATTTATCAGAGTGATTGAAACCCTAGCTATCACAATTTGTTCTGACCAAAATATCACGGGAATTGAAAGCGGGAAAAAACATCATAAAGGCACTCTTTCTGCTGCTGATCTACTTCTCTTCATCACATCTCCAAATACTGCCCTTCTGAATCTAATGGCATTGCTGGGTCGCTTTGAATCAATATCAGGCCTCAAAAAGTCAATTCCGAGAAATCAGAAGCCCTTAACATAAACCTACCGGATATTGGAGAATCTTCGAGCTCAATTCCCATTCTCCTGGCAAACACACTCTATAACCTACTTGTTAGGGTGTTAAATTAACTCTCAATATTGCATCTTTATATAGGGTTAATTACCCTCCTCTGTTTACCAAACTAAAGCTTGTTGGGAACAGGAGGAGTCCCTTATTTTACCAATTTCCAAATCCTTCAGTTGACAGCAGTATAGCTTAAGAGTCTCTAGAATTATGTGTTCCTTAACAAATGAGAAAAATCTGCTCACTGACAACACCAGACACAAAAGCCACTATGACAGACATGTTTTCCAAGGAGGTAAGTGAATCATCATCAGAGAAAGACTGGGTTTATCCCCACACTGTGAGAATGTTCCACATGTTCAAAGTTTTATAGAGGAATTGGGGAAAAGAAACTATTTTGAAGTTGGATACCACCAATTGCAGCACAGTTCCACAGGTAAGCTTTACACTAGGACACTGCAGTTTTTCCAACATCTCCTGGAGTAGAAGATCTCTGCTTGAAAGGTACCCAGGAGAATGCCCAAATATTCAAAGCAAATGTAACAGAATCAAAGATGAATTGTCAAACATTCAAAATCTATTCAAAGTCCACTAAGGCCTGCATGGTGATTGACACATTGGAGTGCAAGGCCAGGTGGTCTGTGCTCTCAGCAGATGATCAATCAGGTTTCAGATGAATGGAATACCTCAGAAATGAAGATGACCCAGGACTGGTGTGAAGACCTTTGTGGGACCAAGACAAGGCTGAATTGTAAGTGCCACAAACGGATAGTGGCTGTCACCTATGCAAATCTAGGAAACTGCTGACAACCTGGAAAAACTTTGTAAATGTACATCCTTTTATACCAGTGGATGCCAAAAAGTCTCTGTGAGGCAATAACTGACATAAGAGATTCAATCTGAAACTTTAAAAAGGACATACAAAGGCATTTACAGCCATTAAATTGAAAAATGGGATGAATGCTGCCTTTGAGTTTAAGAACTGTAAACCTGTTTGATTAAAAATTTTTGGTTTGGGGAGCGAAAAAGATAACCCCCTGGTTTAACAATCTCTTATAGTGGCTGAAAGAATCTGTCCAACTTCAAGACATAGCAAAATACAAAGTGAAGAACTGAACTGAAGTGGAAGACGGAAGCAAAGCGTTATTCTGTAACCTTGGGATATTACTCACCCACACATCAGATATGTACAATTAATGATTTTGTCCAGCGAAGAGCCAAAAAGATGGTCTTCCTCGACAGAAAGATGTAACAAAGCCTTTTTATACTGCTATGAGCATACAGAAGTATACATTTAACACATTTCTACAGCTAGGAAACTGCACAAAATCAATAAAGTTGCCACTTGTCTTACAATCACAATATGTTATCCAGGTTCATGTCACTAAGCTTCAAAATAAAGAAACTAGAAAAGGGCAAATATTGTTTCACAACAATGTATATGACCAAACAGGTTTCCTTACCATCCAGGTTGTGGGCAGTGCTCAGTGCATGTAGTGTTTGCTCACACCACTGGGTGAAGCTATCAGCACACTTTGTTGCTCCTTGAAACAGTCTTACAAGCTTTTCTTCTTGCTCAACCTTCTTACTCTGTCGGCTGTTCACCCCCGAAGACTTACTGAAGAGACAAGATAGTAAATGTAAATTTAGTACAGACATAATTTACCTGCAAACAAACACTGTATTAAAGAGAAACCGTCATGAGGAGTGACTACTAAGTTTCATTGGAGCAATTAAAGAAATACTGTACATGGTGATTCCAAAATAAATTGGATTTCAAATATATATATATCTTTTGCCATGCTGCTCCACTATGTGGCTCCAATATTACCAGTGAAAGAACTGCAACAGTCATGGGAAAAGTCTTTAATTTTGACCTTGAAAAGAAAACCTATTTGTATCCAAGCTAGAAACTTATAAAAGGAAATAAACCTGCCACAGACCTTGGCAATAACTATTACCTCATAGTGGCTGTAAACCTCAGGCATGAATATGAACAAAGCATATCCATCTGTAATATGTATTTTTCTCATGAGCAGAGCACGTTCACTCCTCTCTGCTGCCTCATTTTGCTGTTTTCAGCATGAGTTAGTTCAGAAACGTTTTCCTGACACCAAGAGGTAAAAAAGGTGACAGCAACACCTTGGTGAAGATCTGAGGTATAGATGAGAGATCCAAGGAAAGGGCCATGAACTGGTAGTGCAGAGGACCAACAGCAAATGTAGGAATCACTGGTATGCTGAAAATATAGGGACATGTAGGTAAGCCAGGAAACCTCCTGGGTGATTGGAGGCAAATACAGATTTAGTAGATTCCAGGTGATATTTTGGTACTTTAAGTATTCATCATTATACTTCATAAATTGTGGAATGACACCTTGAACCATAAGACCTAAGCTGGATGGGAAACTGCTATTCTGAATAATGACACAGAAAGCTTACAGGTGAGACACTAAGGAGAGGCAGTAATTAAAACTCTAGTACATAGCCCTGAGATAGCACCTCCTGCACCCAAGTGTTTAAGATGCAAGTTGTCCAAGCATCTTCAAGGTTAACAAATGCCTAAGTAGGTGCACATCTTCATACTGCAAAGGCTAACAGATTTACAATGAATATGGGTATACAGAACTTTTGAGGCACTAATATATACACAAAAACATAAGGAAATGTAAAATTTCAATATTTTACCTTATTACAGATGACATATACATATGATAGTAGTGTCCATCGACTTAGGCACCTTCTTAAACAAATTCCAATGGACACTACTATCATATGAGTACGTTGTCCATAATAAGGTGGACATGTTACATGAGAGTAAATATTGTATACTCATCCAAAATACAATGTTTTTTATTCATGCCTTTGATGTAACAATAAAACATTGAAATTTTACATTTACTTATTTTTGTATGTGAATACTGGTGTTTCAAAAGTCCCATATACTGATCCATTGTAAATAATGACATAGTCATTTCTACCCATTGACTACAGCAGAAGGCTTGTCTGAGTGTTCAGCAACCTCTGAGTAGCAGGACTTGAAGGTGGAAAGGAAAGCAAGCATTGGGGAACTCAACGTGGCGGTAGAGGGGGAGAGGACTTTGTAGCTTGCGTCTTAGGTTTCTTCCACCTTACTTGCCATTGGTAGCATTCTTGATTTTGTCAGAACTGGTCTGAAAAGACGATATTCCTCAAAGGCTGTGTGAATCAAATTTTAGCCAAAGTGTGCTACGCATATTCACTGATATGAGACATGCAACAATCACAGCTGAAGTTTTATGCTACAGCCATTTACTCCCTGTTTTTTTTTTTTTATAAGTGAGAAATCAACCACAGCAGCAGTTAGATCCATTAAAGTGCATGTTACTATAAAGAATCCCTTGCAGATTTTGTAAGTTTGCCCATTTACAAAGAAATGAGGGGTCTATTATTTTTTATCACAGATGTATTTTAAATGATAGAGACAAAATATCAGCCAAAATCCAAAAAAACCCAAAACAAATGTTATAAATTGAGTTGCAGTTCAGTGAGTAAAATAAGTATTTGATCCCCTACTAACCAACAATAATTCTGGCTTCCACAGATTGGCTATGTGCTCATGTGGTACACAGATTAGTCTTGTCAATTTAAGAAGGTGATTATAACGACAACGCGTTATGTCTATAAAAGACACCTATCCACATAATATTTTTCTGGGCAACCACCATGGGCGAGACCAAAGAGCTGTCAAAGGACGTCAGGGACAAGATTGTAGACCTGCACAAGGCTGGAATGGGCTACAAGACCATCAGCAAGAAGCTTGGTGAGAAAGAGAAAACTGTTGGAGTGATTATTCGGAAATGGGAGAAATGCAAAATAACCATCAATCTCTCTCGGTGTGGAGCTCCATGCAAGGTTTTGCTTCATGGGGTAAGGATGATCATGAGAAAAGTGAGGGATCAGCCCAGAACTACACGGGAGAAGACTGTGAATGATCTCAAGGCAATTGGGACCACAGTCACCAAACAAACCATTGGTAACACAATATGCAGCCATGGACTGCAATCCTGCAGCGCCTGCAAGATCCCCCTCCTCAGAAAGGCACATGTACAAACCTGTCTGAAGTTTGCCAATGAACATCTAAATGATTCAGAGAAAGATTGGGATTAAGTGCTGTGGTCAGATGAGACCAAAATTGAGCTCTATGACATTAACTCGACTTGCGGTGTTTGGAGGAAGAAAAATGCCGACTATGACCCTAAGAACATCCTCCCTACAGTCAAGCAGGGAGGTGGAAACATTATGCTTTGGGGCTGTTTCTCTGCTAAAGATACAGGCCGACTTTGCCACATTGAGGGGCCATGTATTGTAAAATTTTGGATGAGAACCTTCTTTCCTTAGTCAGGATACTGAAGATGGGTTGTGGATGAGTCTTCCAGCATGACTAAGACCCAAAACATAACACCAAGGCAACAAAGGAGTGGCTCAAGAAGAAGCACATTGAGGTCATGGAGTGGCCTAGCCAGTCTCCAGACCTTAATCCTATAGAAAATTTATGGAGGGAGTTGAAACTCCTAGCGACCGCCATGAAACCTTATGGATTTATAGAAGATCTGTAGAGAAGAGTGGACCAAAATCCCTCATGAGATGTGTGCAAACCTGGTAACCAACTACAAGAAAAATCTTACCTCTGTGCTTGCCAACAAGGGTTTCTCCAGCAAGTACAAAGTCATGTTTTGCTTGGGGATCAAATACTTATTTTACTCACTAAACAGCAACTCAATTTATAACATTTGTATCATGTGTTTCTTCTGATTTTTGGTTGATATTCTGTCTCTACCATTTAAAATACACATATGATAAAAATTATAGACCCTTCATTTCATTGTAAGTGGGCAAACTTACAAAATCTGCAGGGGTTCAAATAATTATTTTCCCCACTGTATAGTTCCTAAAAAATAGTATTTTTTTTTTTTGTAGTCTGCCTGTGTATTTGCTAAGTACCTGGTGATCCTGCCAGTTCCTCTTGGTTGCCGTTTCAAACTGAACATGATAGGCACAGAAACAGATCTGCCCTAGTGTGGTTAGTTTTCATCCCATCTCCTGACTTGGAAGCTACAGGACGGTGTACCTGTAGTCAAATTCAGCTGCCACATCACCCGTCTAACCACTACAGTTTGAAAAACAGTGGCAGAGCAGTTTAGTATTACCATGGAGAGTTTTGTATGACATTTGATGCAGACGTTGAGTGTCTTCTGTAGGCTCCATCCCTTGTGCCTCAGAGCATAGGGGGACTTGCAAACACATGACTGGCAAAAACCAACATAATTTTCTTTAAATTTTATTAGGAATATATGTTATTGTGTCTAGTGTCACTGTGTGGCTTGTACATCATGTATATTCACATACAATTTAAGGGATGTTGAAGGGCAAGACCTGCCAGTGGGAACAGAGCTCTAAATAGAATAAAATTAATTCAGCCTGCTGTGCTCCTACTAATATTGTGAAAACAATGACATATAGGCGTCAGAGAATTTAGTATTGTGCATTGTGTACAATTTGCCTGCAAACCTATAATTGGCTGTGTCCTGTGTTGCCAAGACTCCTGCCACTGAATATACTCCTGTATATAGTAGATACAATTCAACAGGAAAGGGATAGAAGATGCCATGTGATTCACTGTCTGCTGCCAGCATGCAGGGTTATTAAAGGGGCAAGCGCTGCTCGCCCAAAGGCTTAAACAGTCACTCACAAGTACCCTTCTGCAGCAAAACCAGCAGTGTCATGGCGTGGGCATGTATGGCTGCCAATGGAACTGGTTCTCTTGTATTTATTGATGATGTGACTGCTGACAAAAGCAGCAGGATCAATTCTGAAGTGTTTCGGGCAATATTATCTGCTCATATTCAGCCAAATGCTTCACAACTCATTGGACGCCGCTTCACAGTGCACATGGACAATGACCCAAAGCATACTGCAAAAGCAACCAAAGAGTTTTTTTAAGGGAAAGAAGTGGAATGTTATGCAATGGCCAAGTCAATCACCTGACCTGAATCCGATTGAGCATGCATTTCACTTGCTGAAGACAAAACTGAAGGGAAAATGCCCCAAGAACAAGCAGGAACTGAAGACAGTTGCAGTAGAGGCCTGGCAGTGCATCACCAGGGATGAAACCCAGCGTCTGGTGATGTCTATGCGTTCCAGACTTCAGGCTGAAATCAACTGCAAAGGATTTGCAACCAAGTATTAAAAAGTGAAAGTTTGATTTATGATTATTATTCTGTCCCATTACTTTTGGTCCCTTAACAAGTGGGAGGCACATATGCAAACTGTTGTAATTCCTACACCGGTCACCTGATTTGGATGTATATACCCTCAAATTAAAGCGGACAGTCTGCAGTTAAAGCATATCTTGTTTGTTTCATTTCAAATCCATTGTGGTGGTGTATAGAGCCAGAAATGTTAGAATTGTGTCGATGTCCCAATATTTATGGACCTGACTATCTTTTACACTGCAGAGCAGCACCTAGTAGTGGGATGGGCTATCCAGGGGTGGTCTAAAGTTTTTTTTGACTGCCAGTGTGCAAGCATCCTGTAGGCAGAAGTATAACCTAAAAGGTTAAATATTTTTACTTACCTG